ATATGTATGTATATATGTATATGTATACATAGGTTTGACCTACCCAGCCTGGTCCGCATAGCTACCCCGGTCAAGCAAGAAGCCGATCACTGCCTCCTTATTAAATAATCGGCCCAATGGACATGCAACAATCGGCTCTCGCAAGTGTTGCGCACTTAGAGCGCAACGCAGCCACTTGGACTCCAAGTCATAGTCTTTGTCTAGTAACACCTTTTTCTTCTTAACTTTGACCAGTTCCCCTCGTGTGGGTATGGTACCTCCATCAGCCCCCATGTTGTGTTCTATCTATATTGTTGTTACTGTGATCAGGATACGTCCACAATTTAATAAATAGTGTAGTACATATAGTATTTAAGTGGTATTACTGTATTTGTAAACATGACACGATTGCCGATGGGTCAGGGGGTGGTGTATGTGTTTTTATTAAAACAAATTATTTGTGCTCGCATCAGCAAATTTTGGCGATGTGTGTGTGGCGTGCAGTCAGTAGTGTGTCGTGTGTAAATAGTGTGTTTTTGTTTTGTTTTGTTTTTAACTGTAAAACAAAAAAACCCAAACAAAAACAAAACAGGATCAGAGTCTCTACTCTCTCTCTCTCTCTTCTAGAATACTATACATAGGAGTTATATAGGAAATATCTCTTAGTCTCAGTCTCTCAGACTCAGACTCAGGGCGGCTCAAGCCTCAAAGTCTCAAACCTCCAGGCTCCATCAGCTGTCTTCTGACTTCTCTCACTCTCTCCAGAGTCCAGGACTCCCCAATCAGTCCTGTGACAGTTGCCACTCAGTGTCTCAGTCACTGTGTTTTAAGTTTGTTTTTAAAAAGTCTGAATTCCTGATAGGAAGAAGGCTTTGATATATGACCCTCACCAACGAACCCAAAAAAAAACAATTGGAGGGGAGTGGTGTTTTTATATAAAAAATATGTACATAATAAAAGGCTAAAATTGATATATAGACTTCTTAAATCTGACATAGTTTAGCCTTTTTTGTTTTGTTATAAAAAATAACAAACACCAAAATTAAATTAAATTAAAAATAGACTAAAAAATTGTTTGATTTTTTATAGAAGGCTCTGATAATATTTAATTTAAAACAAAAACAAATAGCCTTTGAATGCTACATATGCCTTTAAAAAATTAAAATGCTGGCCGCTACCGGGCTTATTGATACTTTTTTAATAAACACCAATACCAATCAAACATTGCCATTACAATGCTTGATCTGTATCATGCTCTGTCTTTTATTTAAAAAAACAGTGAAATTCCAGTTTTTTTTCAATAAAAAGGACGTGCAGACTGCAGTGAGTGCAGAGTGCGGACTGCAGAGTGATTTGTGAATATGTATCAGGGGGTTTTTTATATATCGTTAGATGATGAAAATACAAGTCCCTATTCCCAATTGGTGAATTAAAGTGTGGGAAACTCTTCTGGTGGGGGATGATCTCAATTCTGAATTCTCCCGTCGCTGCAAACTTGCAATAGACCTATACATGCTGAATACACTAAATATACAGTCCAGAGAACAGACTACAGACTACAGAGTGTCAGAGTCCTAACCTCAAACCGTTTTCCGTTAAAACTTTTATAAATCGAATAAATATACGTTTACGTTCAACTTTTATCCCATTTGCGGTCCTTTGTATGCTCATAAGCTCGGCTTGTGAAATTTAGGTGTGTACTGTTTTCACCATACGAACTAGTCCTATAAAAGAACTTAAGTAGGCTCTTCTGATCACTATAACCGTTATAACGTTTTAAAATTGAATAAATATGCGTTTACGTTCATCTTCTATTCCATACCCCCTTGTAATGAGCTTAGCTACAGACTACTCTCTAGATTAGTGAGACTCATCAGACTACACAGAACTAAACCTCGTCACACGGACTAAACACTAAAGTTTTGGCGCAATTATGTAGAGTAATCTATTTCGGTATTTAGGCACATACTGATTATTAGGAACACGGATAAACATCCAATGATTTACCATCGCTCATCTTTAATCGTGATCTCATCGGCGGGTAGAAAAAGAAAATCAAACACTGGCGAGTCGCGATTTTTTTCTTTAAACTAAAAATTTTATATAAGTAATCGCATATGATTATATCCAGGCTCAGAGGGCTGCGGCTCTGAACTTCTGAAGCTCTGTCTCTGAAAATGCTCTTTTTTTTCCCGACATTCGCGTCTACTGTTTGAGATATTTTTTAAAGAGCATTGGACTACATATTGTACATATGAAACTCTCCGAGTAGAGAAGTAGAGAGACTGATGAGAGAGAGAATATTTGTATTTAGTACATAGGACACAAGAGCCCACAAGAAGAGTAGAGAAGGTCCAAGCCTCCAAGGTCCAAGTCCCACAAGACTCCAAAGTCCAAGACTCCAAGGTGCGAAGGCGACATCACTAATGATAGTTCAAACTTCAAATTTCTATGCGGGGGCCCCGACGCCCCCGAGCCCCCGACTTCCGGTTCAATCAGAAGTTCAAAGTTCATCAGACCAATCACCAATCCCACCTTCCTATTCCCAGCGGCTCAAAACCCAAGCCCCCAAGTCCCCAACAACAAGAGAGAGATCAGAGAAGGAGCCGAAGCCCCGAATGCCCCCTACAAGAGAGAAGTCAGAAGTACGTATGTACATACATGAAACGTGTAGTCATACCCAACACCGCTAAAAGTGCTAAATATAGAGGCGCTCTCTAGAGAGAGATTACCTAGCTCATGCTTTTTAGTCTTTTTTACTCATTAGTTTTATATAACTAGCTCAGAGCGTATGAGCAGAGTAGATACGGGCATTACATTGGCCAAGAACTTACTGCCAAGCAAGATCGGCCTGATGTCACGACTCATGTTTGATGTTGTCTCACTTATGACTTGTCAAATATCAGTTGTCAGTTGTATCTGAATCTCCAGACCTCAGGGCTCAGGGCTCAGTAGTCGTATTTACATACCTGGTTACACCACATGACATGACTACAAGGTATATCAGATCACTCTCTGAGTCTCTAGGGATTCTGGAGTCTGGACCAGCAGAGCACACACAAAAATGGCTTTGCAAAATATGTGGAACTTTTTAGGGTCGTTTTTTTAATTTAATAATAATAATAGCGATATATATGTATCTGTCGACTGCGTCCAAAACATCAAAATCGAAAAAAAAGTAAAATTAGCAATACGAAATGGCAGCAAGTACATTCATGACTTATTTCCAATGCTTCGGAAGCATGAATGATTCACCTACGCTGCCAACGGCAGTGAAATACATCACAGCCAATAACTGTACATCGAAGCAAATCACGTTGTGTGAAAAGCCTATATCATGTCGTTCCCTCTCACTCGCAGTAGACCCTTCGAAGAGGTTTACTGACGAAGTTCATATACAGAATGGGTCCACATGCGTAGTATCGAGTGCCACTGATATTATAACTTCACATCAAGTGGCGTTGAAAAAAGCGCGGTGGGCATATTTACCACAGATGGAGAGAGAATTCATGATTCAGCAAACGATTGGAGCACATCCCAACATAGGGGGTATGAGAAATATAATCAAAGATTTCAATAAGAAAGAGGTTTATTTAGTAATGGAACTCCTCGATGGAGGCGATTTAGTTGACCTAGTTGCAAACACCAAGATAGGTATGACTAGCCGTGAATTCATCTGCTTTGCACTACAGTTGGCCCGTGGCCTGAAACACATACATGACAAGGGAGTGGTACACCGTGATATCAAAGCCGATAACGTATGTACTAGCAAAGGGGACGGAGTGATGAAGTTTGTAGATTTTGGTGAGGCAGCACTTCTCGATGAACCAATTAGAAAGTATAAAACCGGTACACTTCCATACATAGCACCCGAGCTACTCGATGAGCATAGGAAGCTATCCGAAGCCCAGAGTGAAGTCTGTGAAACAGACTTGAAAGCTTGTGACGTATGGTCGTTGGGTATCACATTCTACTCCATGCTGACTTGTAGGCTACCGTTCAAACAAGCCGCGCATGGCGATAAGAACTTTGCTATGTATAGTACCGGGTCTGGTGTTTTCGGACCCACAAAATCGTGGATAAAAATCGAAGGCACTTTGCAAACCCTTATCGCAAATATGTGTGCGGTAGATGTCGCACAAAGATGGACAATCGAAGAGGTCGAGGACTATCTCACAGAACTGTCAAGATAAGTCGTGACTATAAATGTGAGCTCCTATCGGGTAAACATCAAGAAAATATTAGTATGAAAAACAATGCTTTAAAAAAACAATGAATTATTAAGTATAATCCACGAATCACATGCAATAAAACAATTCAAATTTCAACTAGTGATTACAAAAGGTGGCAGTGAAATTATCCAAAACACCTGGCTTCCAAAGTATCTACTGAAACCAAATCACACGACTGTTTTGACGGTACGATAAGAAATTTAGTATCTGTATATTATTCTATTTGCACACGGAACTTCACATACGATTTAGTGCTCTGCTTGTAAGCACGGCGGAGCCCATTATCTTATACTGCATAGCAAACTACTTTGATGACTCTGAGCACACTGAATCCCTATAACATACTGCTGCTCAGATTCTGACCAAATGATGAAATGAACTGACTTTTATTCTCTGGCACTCTCGCCGCTCTTTGACTGTATCCAATTCGCCAGTGTACCGCTCCCCATTCCGTAGCCGCAGGGCAGCGGACGCAGATCGCGAGTCTGTGCGAACAGAGCGCGAAATTGCAAATGTTATTTTCTGCTTGGAATACACCATAGCGAGCACAACAAGTATTGCCAATCATGTTCTGTAAGAGAGTTTCAGGCTTACATCGAACCACCGACTGCACGCGATCAACCTGTTCCTTTGATGGTCTGTTGTGTAGCATCACTACCTGATGATGAGCAATTTATTGTGCTTCGCGACAATGGAAACCTCATAATATGATCTATTCGCACCCACCGAGATACTAAACGATACGGACCCTGCTGACCGTGGTTTGGAAATCGCTTTGTATGTGGCAACTTTCGTAGAGTATATTTGAAATGTGTGCGCTGGCCAATAATTCACTTACTTGACGGGAAGGTGGTGAACCCCAGGCGGGAGGAAAACTGCGATCGCCGTTATTCATATCCTCGTTGAATTTTTTCTCCACCCATTCGCTCAGAGCAGAATCTCCAAATCCGTAACCACCTATTATAACACACATGGTAGTCAAAATAAGGCATTTGATTATACACATCTTAAAAATATATATATAACTATACAGTATAATACACAAAACATGTAAATACACATAAACAAACGCAAATCGCTATAAATTTGATAGCATATTGTACATACTTCAAACCGAACACATACTTCCAAATTTATATATAGAATTTTATATAAATATATAACTCTATATGCGAATACATCCCATTGTGTATATAATTATATATATATATATATATATATATATATATATATATATAGTGTGTGTGTGTGTGTGTGTGTGT